GCTTTGTGGGGAAGAACAACCCATCACTTGGGTAAAGCCTGAGGTTAGGAGGCAGCGTGTAGCGGGATCCAGGCTTGAAGACTTGGCGTGCACCCTCCTTTGAGGATTGCTGCAGGTCAGGCAGGACACAGAGGACGGACAAAAGCACGACGTTCACGGGAGGCCAGGATACAAGTGAGGGGGCTCAGGAGAGAGAATTGGCCAGGGCAGGAAGCAGGCTGGTCAGGGGAGGAAGCAAGGAGGAAAGTGGGGTGCAGATAAAGAAGGTGGGAAAAACACGGCTAAACAAAAAGAAAAGCAAAAAAGGATGATTTAAGCCGTGTTGTGGTTTAACCCCAGCTGGCAGCCAAGCACCACCCAGCAGCTTGCTCACTTCCCCCCGGTGGCAGGGGGGAAAGAATTGGAAGGGTAAAAGTGAGAAAAAAATGTGGGTTGAGATGAAGACAGTTTAATAGGTAAAGCAAAAGCTGTGCACACAAGCAAAGCAAAACAAGGAATTCATTCACTTCTCCAGGAAAGCAGGGCTCCATCACACATGGCGGTTACTTGGGCAGACAAACGCCATCACTCCAAATGTCCCCCCCTTCCTTCTTCTTCCCCCAGCTTTATGTGCCGAGCATGACGTCACATGGTATGGAATACCCCTTTGGCCAGTTGGGGTCAGCTGTCCTGGCTGTGCCCCCTCCCAACTTCTTGTTGCCCCCCCAGCCTCCTCGCTGGTGGGGTGAGGAGCTCTGTGTAAGCCCTGCTCAGCAGGCTGTTTACAGCACAAATCCAAAACACAGCCCCATACCAGCTACTGAAGAAAATTAACTCTATCCCAGCCAAAACCAGCACAAGCCATTTTGTAAACGTGTAACAAAGCAAAACCCTCCTTTGAAAACCAAAAGAAATTAAGAAGAAAAAAATCAGTTCAGTTGTTCTTTGCAGGCATTCACTACAAATCACCAGAATGCAAATATATTCCCATGCTGGGTGTGCAATCAGTGTTTTCCTCTGCAATATTTAATCTCATTTATCAAGCTTCTTAGTACAAATTAAGTTACAAGGTAATCAATTAGATTGAAAACACAGCTTGTTTCATTGTTTTAATTTTGCACTGTAAGCATATTCACCCTAATTTAACGATTAGCTAATCAAAAACCGTGAAGTGTTTATATAGCTTGGCTTTTTGTCATTCAAATTCCTTTCCTGGATCATTGCGAATGCATCAGCCAGCGGAGTCCCAGCGACAATTTTAAAAGCCTGGCAGAAAACCCATGCGGGGAAGGAAGAGGGGAACATGTAGCAACCGCAGTGTGGTGCTGGGGTTTGAAAAAGGAAAGGAAGACTCCGGAAACCGCTGCTCATTTCCAGATAAACAGACAAACTGCCTAAAGGACTGCAGCCCGTTTCCTCCTGGGACATTTTCTAGGAGGACTTCTGCAGAAACCAGGACAAGAAGCCACTGCTTTACAAGATTAGAGCAGCGTGGATGGGCCGCTTTTGTGCCCAGAGGAAGCTGCAGCTGCTGTCTGTAGATTCAGAAGTCTGAAGATTTTCCCATGACGTGGGGGATGTATCAAAGGCAATGAGCGCAGAGGGAATCCCTCAAGTGGGACATTGCTGCCTGATGGGAAAGAGGACCGAACTGGGTGGGTTGGGTTTTTTTTTGTTGTTTTGGTTTTCTTTTTTAATTGCTGTTAGCTAGGATAAGTTGCTCTTTTCTAGAAATATTTGGATACAACAGTTATGATCTTTTGCTTAAGTTTAGATCTGCATATTCTGCACTTAGCGTCTTTCCATGTTGGGGCAGTTTTGGTCAAGAAGATGCTTAGGGAAACTGCATACCTGGGAGCCTATTCTCCAGTTTTATGGATGGGGGGTTGGGATGGGGGGGTTTTGTTTGTTTAAGCTTTTTGTTGTTTGTTTTTTTCATCTGCTTCCTTTTAAGCTTTTAATTTCTTTTCAGTAAAGTGCAGTTCAAAGTTATTTACAGTGACGTTCTTGCTTGACTGAAGACGTCAACGTTTCCTTCCCACCACAAGAGAAGAGGTAAAGACGAGCCCTAATGACACCAAGCATGCACCTGCAGGCTGGCCAGAAGAGGAGCAAATGTAAAAGGGGGCCCTCCCAACCCACAAATGACCGAGCAGATGAGAGAAATCAGCAAGTTGGGGGATGCTGGCTGGGGCCAGAGGAGCACAGGTTCACCCCCTTGTCCAATGTTTTGGAGGACATCTTGAGGTGAGGCGGGAGGAGGGAGCAGAGTGACAGAAGTGGGGCAAGGCATGCTGCTGAGCATGGCCGCGGGCTGACAGATGAAACGTTATTAGACTTTGCTTCTATGACAGACTTGGGTGTTTTAACACTTACACGTGGTAACGTGATCAATGCTCGTTTCCAGCTGCGTTTAGGTGGAAGTGATCCAATATGACCATCAACCCTCCCTCTGTCCCCAGGCCCTGCTCTCCATGCCCAGTAAACAAGAGCCAGATGCCTTCTCTTCCAAACACAATTTCTGCCTGTCTGGGCAGCGTGGTTTTTGGGGATCACATACAGGATCAAGGACTAAACAAACTAGAAGTGCTTGGTCTCTGCATTATATTTCTGATTTAGATATATTACATATAATAACAGTCCTGTAACAGCCAGGCTCTGTCAGTGCTCTGCCTGGCTACAGGAAGGGAATAGCTAGATTAACATTATGAGCTCTATTTCTATATTTGTTAGTTTATCTGTCCAGAAAGGGAAGCAATAAAAATCCAATTGCTGACCAGTGAGGACAGGTTTTCATTAGAACAGCTTTGAATTGGGTTACTTGCTCCTGTCGAACAACGATTGACTGTAATGTGGGAATGATCCCACCCT